CATCTGTGTTTCTTTCTGTTCATTTTGCATCAATTATAAGTGTAAGTGAGCCTTTTTTAGTTACTAAACTCGATCGCCAAGCTCCTTCATTACTCCGCCTTCCTTCAATTTTAACCACGGCCAATTTTAAGCACAGCCTTTTTTGTTACTCAAATTGTTACGCACTGTCGTCTAATCATCTCTGTTAAAAATAGTCTTGATTGTGTCCATGTCTGGCACAAATTACAACACAGGCGTGGGAAATGTCTCTTAAACATCTCAATACACACTTCTATCAACCTGCAGTCGGCGCATCAGTAACGTCGTTTCATTATGGCGGTACAAAGGCATAATATGATAGACGTGTTGGCTAATTCCTGCTATACTTAAACGTTCACGGCTGATACAGGGGAAAACAGATGAGGATACCAATGCAACCAAGTACCAAACACAACATGAAATTGAAGGATTTCTGCCCCTCTGCATGTAGGATGCCGTCGGACAGGAACTAAATGGCCAATAAGCGAAAAAGGTGTTGGGCAATCGCAGTTAACTAAATGTCTGTTCCAAATGCCAAAAAGTTTTTTCTCTCAAAGTATATCCGACGTGGAGTTTTGCCCATAATTCGAAAATTTTGTTAGCATTTGCCATATTGCGAAACTCATCAAGGGCTACTGGAGCTTTGTTAAAGAATACAAATTTCATTAACAAAGAACGGCCTTGTTGAGAAATCACTGCACGGTAAAACAACAACCACTAAATTACGCTACTACGCGCTATTTCTTCCAGTTCCAGTATTTGCATTAAATGAAATGATGTGTTTTTAAGCACGCAGATAGAAGCTTCAGCCTCATACATGTTTAATCTGATGTCCTGAGAGGGTATTTCACCTACCTGAGGAAAAAATATTTTAAATGTGGCTCACAGTATGTTTGGGCAACATTAGAAATATTGCATGGCCCATATATTTCAGTATATAAAACAATTCAAATGACGAATAGCTCGAGAGACAACCTAATGGCTTGATTTTGTATAGAAATTATACCCCAGGCATCGACATAACGTTAGTGCAGAAACATTCTTCGAAATTACCAATGAAGATCAAGTATGCTTAAATTTTTTCAATAAATAATCACGTTGTGTCGCTTAAATTAACATTAGGCAATAATTTTTATGCTTTCGACATAACATGATTTCCAAGTCTGTCCTTTTAGCCTAACAAGTAGAGGTGTGGCTCGTTAAATGAGACGTAACGCGGTTATCTCCGATAGCCACAAAGTGTGAAGGCTCGCAAGAAGGTGCACATTAGCAGTCGTACCGAAAACATGTGCGCCTCGTTGTGACCTAGCGAAAAACCAGAATAACAATGTAGTTACCTATCCATCACGACCTTCCCCAAAACAGCTGTTGTGTTGTCATAAGAAATCTTGCTCTAGAACGACACACTACAATTTGCAATGAACCATTTTCATGAATGTTTAATGCACCGCAAGTCTACAGGCAACGTTTCGCTGATGAGATCCAATTCTCTTTCACAATGCCATACTAATCGAATCGTTGACGCATCACTTTAGAACTTTCGAAATATTTCCCATTCTGTACCCATAGATCCATCAATGCTTTTTACTGGCTTTTGCTAGTGCAATCACAATTCCCCAAAGATACTTTCCGTACCTACACGAGCTAGGATATGCTACTTAGATTTAAACGGTGTAGTATGGAACTGTAGGCAAAAGGCTTGCTCCTTTTGTACAGATCGGTTGCCCTAAGCAGCACCTCCTTCTTCTTCAACACGCACCACGCAAGTCTAAGACAATAAGTTATTAAGCGATGGTGTTTACCTCTAATTTGAACCTGCGTCAGGCAAAGCAAAAGGTTTTTCAAAACGACCATCTTGAACAACACCTAGTGTTCTCCAACCTTCGTCAGCTGTATACAGGCGACGTTGACACAATAAACGAGTTCATGAGTCGCACGGTGCGTGAAAATCCACCACTCAGACATTTGTGCTGGATTAGCGATAAAACCCAGGTGTAGTTACACTGTAGAAAACAGGTGTGCTTAACAGACAGACGGGGAACAATGGTTAAAGCATTATACGCCTCAGACAATGCTTCAAAAGTTCTTTGGTGCTTGATGCTTGGCATTTTCACCTGATTACTGTGAAAAGATTTTACAGAAAATATGCGACTCTTTGGATTCAGCGTAACTAAACGCACGGATTTCATCAAGGTGGTGGAATGACGAAAGCAAAGAGCCCGTCGCCAATCAAGCCACATTCATTAATGTCAAAACGTTTTACGCAATTATTCAAACTACCTTGACAGCTGGACATATGTCTGCCAACGAATAGGCTTATCTGCTGGGATTTTTCACACTAAAGCGCGGGTGAAATATTCCGCTTTTCCGATGTGGATGAAGCTAAGTTGCCTAAAGTGAAGTGACTCCACTGGGTAATGTAATTTGTATACAGCAAATAATTGACACTCCATTACCACCATTATGGTATTTATGCTTCCCCATCCCAAAGCGACCAGTTTTTTTTGTGCGCAGCCTAATTAGTTGTGCCCCGTAAATTTTTCCGATGTAGTGATTAAACACCTTTTCGTAATTGGATGCATCCTGTTTATTTTCGGAGCACACTTTGCTTCTAGGTACGCAAAACAGGAGTGTTTAAGGTGTACTGGTCCCAAGGACCATTAGTTAGATTTTAAAAATTGACCAGCAGGAGGAATGCTACCGAATAGTTTCCTTTTGTAAAATTTTTCATGCAAAAGCGTGAAAAAATTATTCAAAGGAGATAGATCGAAATTCTTTAGAGTTTTATTTAAAACGCCTATTCACTCATTCATTTGGACGAAAAATCTTGCCTATTTAAACACAATTCTGTTCATATAATTTCATTTTACCATGAGTCTCAGTCATGGATTGCATCAGAACAGAAAATGCGGAAGTTGAGGGTGATTGGGACTAAGGGCAGCAGCACACATGATTTTTCCAAGAGTGCCTTTTACAAGAAGACCACAAATCTACACTTGCCATAGCCTAGCCATGAATTAGTTTCCTTTTCTCCTGTTCAAGCAAGAACCAATCAGGAGCTACTACGTGGCACATTAAACTTTCAAGCTGACATAATTAGCCAGTTCTTCAATCAGCATTATTATGTGGCGTTAAAAAATGAACTAGACTTTCAAAATACATTCCTTGAACTCGGCACTGGTGTATGTTTTAAGAAAAAAACATTTCTTAATTTGGAAAACTCCTGGATAAATTTACAGAGGGAATAGTGTCCATGTGAGCGCAAACGTTTTTTGCGACTGAGGCAACATTACCGCGAGTCGGCAGATCATGCAGATTTAATGAGAAAGCGGACGTGTTAGCGAGCCTCATGCGCACCCCAACGTGCGGAACGAAAAGGGCCGCCTTAAGTCCGTGAATCCTGCCTCCGCAGTCATCTCATATGAGACCAACGAATCTACTCAACCATACTTGCCGACTCTGTTAGAGCTGAACGCGTCCACTCACAGACGGCCAGACAAAGGCATGGTGAAGTGGGATGGAGACTAGGAAAGGTTATCACAACTCAAAAACACAAGGGTACTGTGGGAAATCTAGGGTGCATAATGCCATCCCCCCAACAACGAAAACCTCGGTCACTACTCGTTTTTTCTAAGTGCAAAAACAGGGCACGAGACCAAATGGTATGTTCTGTCAGGAGAGCGAGCGTGCTGCTGGCCTTTTGTGCTAAGTGTTTCGCATCCATGAAAGTGTAGATGATGCCGTTGTTCGACTGTGCTGATGGATAGAGTATGGAAACTGTTGAACAGTTACAACAGTAGTACACCCACACCACTATTCCATTTGGATATTCAAGTCGATCGTAAGTGCAATTTGGTGATCGTGTTTTGGATCAGTCAAATTGGATGAGACAATCTCATCATACACTGGCAAGTGCTTCACCAATGCAAGTGCAGAATTTTCCGATTAAAATGCACCTCAATCCAGACGTGCATAAATTTTTTAAATTCAGTATAGAAGAGAGAATCTAACCAGTCAACACGAAAGAGCGGTTTTATCAACGAAATGAAAGGTTTTTACGTTGTAGATATGCAATTTTTTGTTGCAAAGCGTCGTAAATTAAACTTACTTTAAACCCGTAGAGAAACCAATTATTTTACTTGAATTTACCTGTCAATTTTCTGAGTTGCCAGCCCAGGAATGCTTGCAAACAAACAGGCACGCACAGCAAATGCTGCTGTCAAAAATGGTGCAATTAATTATAAAGTGAAGTTGGCACACGTAGCAATTATGTAAAGCAACAGGTCACTTATTAAAACCCTATTGTCCCAGAATGATATGCGCCAGATACAAAAAAAACCCCAAAATGTCCATCCTGGATGAATGTCCTGATGACAGGTAATTTTCGGGATTTTCAAGAAGAGGTCTCCTTTAAATTTGGATGGATTTCAAAGCAAGAATAAACACAGTTGCCACTATCGGTAAGTCTGTGAAACAATTCATTCAAAATTTGGCGGCATTAGCTTCTCCAAAAAAGATCCGAGATCCCTTCATTCCGGAATTCGCCGTCCCCTAACGTAGCGCCAATATCCCCAGGTTTTCCTGAACCTTTGTTACGCTGCCGTTGTAAAGATTATCATTTTTGTGCCTTAACGCCAAGGAACCGCAGGCGCTTTGTTATTTGATGAGGCAAAATTATCTGGAACTAATGAGGACTAAGAGGAAATTAGCCTTGACCCTAAAAATACAGATGAAGTGCATTTTGGAAAGTCTGATGCACCTCCGACTCAGTGAACATGTCACAGTAAGATAATTTGTCTTGCCTGTTCAGGGAGCAGGTAATGCATGGGAGTGCGACTACGAAGCATCCAGTAAAACCGAAGACTCTTGTCGAATTTGGCACCCGATTTTGGGTCATTAAGGCAAAAGAAGCAGAAAAATCAATGCACAAATCACAAATTAAAAAAAAACAGTTTCTGTAGGGGATTAAGAAAAATGTGGAATTACTTACATTGTTTGAGACTTTCGCGACCCTCAGACAGGAGACCAATTGGAAGCATTCCGTTTGGCGTGAGACCTTTCAACTCCAGCACACTTTCATTTTCTTCTCTGTCGGCAAAATTAAATAAGACGTTGATTATGTAATTAAATCAACCCAACAACTCAATTTGCCTACATGATCGTTTGTCATCGGTGTTTGGACAACCGGACCCTAGATCAAAATCAGATCGGGAGTCATCAGCCCAAAACGATGCCGTTCAACAAACCATTTCTGGTTCTCAAGGTAAGCCAAATTCAAAGCGACTTAGAGACCTCGGAGTCCAGGGCAGTCGACAGAACGCGACGACGAACTACTGGCTACGAAGTGTGAGACGGTGCAAATTTATGAGGAGCAGTCACGAAATTAGTTTGGGATTTAGGGCCTGACAACTACGACGCGTGACTTTTGAGTGGATCAAAATAAAATCCGTTGAAAGCGGATTTCGTTAGCTCTATTCACAGCCTTCAGGTCTGGACGACAACAAACTTGAACGGGGAGTTTGTACGCAATGATCTCTGTGGGTTAGAACTCAAGACGAGGAGCGGGCATGCCCGATTTGGTAAAAACATCTTAGTGTTGATTAACACTGAAGGAAGGAAGCGCAATGGGCTCCACCCGTTTTTAAACATGCCCAGAGTTAAGTGCAAAAATCTTCCTGAATGTTTCAGTTAAGGCGAATTTTGCCTAATTGACTTTTCGAAAAAGGCTAAAATTGTTTTTGAGAATATTTAATTGTGCAGAATGGAAGGAAATACGTTAAACTATAGGATGAAAATGGCAGAGTAAAGGCCAGTGAAACAATTAGTTTCACAAAGCCACGGAAAATTAAAATTCGAATCACTAGGAAATCCAAAAATTGTTCCGCACATTTCGAGAAAATGATAAATGCTAGCTTGTTTGCAACAAAAGAATCCCGAAACGCTTCATTCCACACGTGGAAATTGCTTGGGGCTTTGTACGTGAGTTCTAATTTATGTGAATAGCGTGACACAGAGGGGCACTTTTCATTCAAAGACATTCTCCAATGATTGTTGTATACTAAATAAACCTTTCAAGAAAGGTAAAATTTCAGGAGAGATATCCCCCCCCCTTTTTTTTAGAAATGTCCATGTGCCCGGATTCCACGCGTCGAAAAAGCATTTAATTTTAAAACAATGTGACCGCTCTATACTTTCTCAAGATGGTACAATTTTCGGATTGGATGAGACGCCGGAATTGCTAGACCGCCAGTTGCGCACTTGGGGAGGCGTTCACCTTTCTGATTAATTAACATTCGATGGTAACAAAGTAGATCTTAGTTAAAGACAAATTTAATTCATGGAAATTTCCACGAATGCGTAGTTGTTGAGTTGAATAAGCCACTAGTACATGGCTTCTGCAAATGCTCAGATGGAAGCAGTTAAACAATTTCTAAAACATTTCTTGATTTCGTCCGGGAATCGCAATTACAGAGATGTTTTAATGTCCCCGAATTGCACAAACTCATTTACCAATTCACACAATGTGTTCATCACTGAGGGCACAATATGAGGTTGTTTTCCACATTACACACTCATGGCCCCCATTTTCTACGACATCTCAACTATTTCCATGTAGCTTCGTGAAACAAGAGTTCATGATGATCCGTTCATGCTATGAGACTGGAACGGAGATGTTATATATCCACAACACGCAGATATTTACCTCCTCTTTTAGTAAATTAGAAGCAATTTATTGTTAAACATCTTTAAACATTTTGAGCAACCACGGGATCGATGCAAAGATAAGCATTTTCGATTGATTTTGCTCCACGGTTTTGTCTTAAACTACTTTAACACGTATTTGCAGTCAAATCAATGCAGAAAATTCTGCTTAACGGGATTTACCGGAGGAGAGTGAACACACGTGCCATTTTCCCGATCGCACGGATTTTCCCCTTGATGACATCTTTGCGCACGTTGACGTTATCTGATGAAGAAAAAAAAGAACACTTGTTCAGATTTGGGCCAACATGGCACACGAGGTGTTCGTTCGAGCAGGGATGCCAGAGACAGGATGAAAGGCGACCAGTCCAAGAGGACATCTCTATGTGAAAATTCGTGGAGCGAAACATCCCAGGAAGGAAAAACCTAAAGATATGGCTGCAGGGAATTTTTAGGTTGTGCAACAAGTAGCAACACTTGGGCACAACTTCTGCTAGATAAACTAACTCGTGTTGGATTCAAGCTTTCTCAAACCAACACCGCAGTTTTGTGATAATGCACTATCACGGGATCAGACAGCTGTCTGAATGGGAATTCACAGAACCACATAACGGCATCGGGACGGGTGTCACATTACGACTCTGAATCCACCGAGAGTTGTCAAAAAAGAATACCTCTTCTGCACTTCAGTTACCTGAAGTGCAAATGTTTTTTTAAGAAAATAAAGATAAAAAGCAGCCTTCTAGCCCACGAATCAATCAACTGTGTGTAACTAAAACGTGCGTTCTTAAAATGAGTGATTTTATAGTCTTGTCTACGGACACAATTTAAAAACCTGAAAATGTTAGCCCAGGGGAAAGTTTTGGTATCATAAATCCAGACCGGAAATTTAATACAAGGAGAATGTGATAGCGAAATTGTTGCACTGACGCACATTAATTGGAAAGTGCTAGTGAGGATGACAGAGCCAAGTCAACAAACCGTAGCTGTTCTGTGTCGACTTTATTTTCATGTCACACTTATTGAGGGGGTGTGCTAGCA